AATTTATAGAAAAGATTCCTTTATTAACTTTTGGTTGAGAATATGTTTGTATATTTTCAGAAAACAACTCTGAGACCATGTTGATTCCTGAAACAGAGAGGAATTGACAGGACTAACTACTCCAGCCATGAAGACAGAAGAGAAACAGTCTAGAGATGGAAGATGCTGACGACGCATTGCCATACTAGCAGTAAGCAGCTGTGCATCACTGCAGGTTGCCCAGGACAAAACCAGAGAGGGTTGGACCTGCAATACCACCATCTGTCCACCATCCAGAACTGAAATATCATGGCTGACATGTACACATAAGGAACTGTTTGACATTTAAATTGGGTCTCAAAAGAACTGTTGGCCCAGAAAGAAACTCACTACAAATTGATTCATTTTCCTCTCAATATAACGATTATTGCTTGTCTCATTTTTGTTTCTTATAAGTGTATTTCTAATAGCGCATGATCTCACTCATCTAGGGGAAATGATGAACAACATAGACTGATGAATAAGAGCAGACCGGGAGTTCTAGGAAGCATAGATCAGACTGTTGGACCTCAGAGGGAAGATAGGGGAGGGTGAAAATAAGGGGGAGAGATCAACCAAAGAAGACTTGTGTGCATGCATATGAGCCTAACCAGTGATCAAGGACAATAGAGGGGTGGGGGCAAGAGGGGGGAGAGGTTTGGGATGGGAATGGGGGGATGAGGACAAATATGTGATACCTTAATCAATAAAGAAATTTTAGAAATTGCTTCATAATTACACCTTTTTTCTGTTTTAATATATATCATACACACATATTTGTATATATATCATATATACACAGATATATAACATACAATATGTATAATAAATACATATACACCACATACATCACATACATCACATATATATTATATATTGCACATATTATATATATCACATACACATACATATATAAGTGTTTATGTACACACACAAACATGTCCATGTGTATGCATATTTATGCATACAAATACACTTATACATATACTATATACATACATATGAATATATACATATATACATACATATGTTTATATATGGTGCATTTGTAGAAGAGCAAGGTTGTAACATAAAAAAGATAATCACTATAATTTATTGGTTATTTATTATTTTCCAGGCAATGTATTAAGACCTTTATAGATGTTATTTTTCACAGCCATCTTACACAGAATCTGTAATTCGCATTTAATTGAACAAGACGAGTAGCATGCCAAGAGCTCACATATACTAATATCTTAGCTGAACCTGAGCCTGCCCGACTCTGAGATCTAAGCTTTTAAGCACTTGATTTATTTGCTATTAGTCACAGTCAGCATGGCTTTGACAACAGCAACTGATTATATTGCTTGGGTTTTTCGAACAGGCACTGGGCAATTAAAAAGGAGTGGGAAGATTGTTACAAGATGTGGTATAAATCAGCATATTTCTTTTAAAGACGCATTATTATAATGAATAGAGAAGGAACAGTTTGAGACACTAGCAGAAAGAATAGTTACTACAAAGCAATTTGCTATTTTCCACCATTAAAAATGCAGAGTTGCTTCCATCTGCAGGACAAAGGGACAATTGCAGTGTTTCTAGTTGTATAATTAACTTCCTTTCTTGTATAGACCAACATCCAGGGTGCCAGGTTGAGGACATCACTCACCTCATCACCAGGTGGCTCTAAAGTTCCAACCAGGAATAGTGCAGATTCTGGGTGAATAGGAAAGCAGTTCCTATGAACAGACCAATACATCGTAAGGATTGTGCAGAACAAAGAGCTTTGACACTGCAGATGATTGAACCACTTCTGCCAACCTCATATTTATCCTGGGGACCCTAAGTGGTTCAAAAAGAGTAAGTCCAACATTCCTCCTTCTTCTGTAAAATGTGGAGCTGTGAGGACTAAATTAAATTCAACCTATGTTTGTTGAGAGCCTCCTATATGCCTGACAGAATTTTAAGCACTTGAGGTGCTTTGGTGAAAAAACAAAGCTATCTGTCTTTATGGAGCTTAGATGAGATAATACACTTGACCATATTTTGTAAACACTATTGAGCCATAGGCATGGTGGTCTCTGTCCTTTGTGTTTAGTCTACATTGGGAAACCCTGCCTATTTCTAATATCTAATATCTGGGTACTCTTATAGGGACTGCTACTGTAACTTGAGGCTGGAATCAGAGTTTCCTGAATGGCGCTCTTCATTTAGTCCTCTCACTGCAGCTTCTCAAGGACAGGGACCAAGTCTCCACATTCTATTCCCTGTTCAGCCCCAGGACCTAGTATGGTGCTAGGTCAGCGTATGCTCTGAATGGAATGAAACAAAACTAGGATTCCCTTGATAAAGCTAAAGAGTGGAAGCTAGAGAATGTGCAGAACAGTGAGAGAGATTTATTTGTATGGACTTGCCAGTGATTTATTATGCATCTGTTTCCTCCGTTCTCACAGCTCCCTGCACATTTATCTCTTCTTATAAGTATCCTCCCATTCCATCCAGGAAGTCCTTCCTGCTTTGTTAGTCTGCATGACTCTCCTGTCCTGGATCTCATTTCATAGTATGGCCTCAGTCACAGAAATTAACATGATTGTTTTATGCTATTCTCTAAAAATTGGTAAACTTATAGACTCAGAAACAGTTCTAGAGTCCCATATATAGTACCCACCCCCACCACCTTCAACCACATACAATACAATGCCCAGTACATAGTTAGAAATGGCATAAATCAGTTGCAGTCTATATCTTTTTTGTGACAGATCTCTGATTTTTCAATGGTCAGTATGTACATGTGTATGTTTGCATGCATAATGCATGTGTATGCCCAATGTCTTTTCCTTTCCTTAATCCTGTCCAGTTTTGATATTTGGATTTGGGATATGCTTTTAATATTTTTATCTATTTTCTTGTTAATCCTCATCACAGGATATTTTTCTGTTGATTTTCAGAGAGAGTGAAAGGGAGGGGAAAAAATGGAGAGATCTTTCTGATTGATGTGAGAAAGACACATTGATTGGTTGCCTCCTGCACAGGGTCCCAGGGATCAAGCCTGCAACCGATGTACGTGCCCTTGATTAGAATCAAACCCAGGACCCTTCAGTCTGGGGCTGACACTCTATCTACTGAGCCAAACTGGCTGGGACTATGATGTATTTTTGATACTATATAGGGAAGACTATTTATTTATTTATTTATTTATTATCAAAGATATAATTCTGATATCCCCCTTTACACAGCTTTGTTTGTGATTTGTAGTATATGACTTTGAAAAGTAATATGCTGGTTTTAATGGGAATTTTTCTTTTCTTCTTAGCTTCTCAAAGCATGGTTACCTGTTTCAGAGCTAGACATTTATACAAGACATCTATGAATGTGAATTCCTGGCATCCACTCCCAATTTCCTAAGTTCCAATCTCTGCGGGTTGAGCTCCCAGGTACATTTATAGCAAATGGCTTTGGAGATTCCAGTGTGCACTCAAGTTTAAGATCCATTGCCCTGGGGCGCACTGTTAGCAGGAAAAGTACATGTGAAAGGTCCCTGGGTGGAAAGCTAGCATCTAAGTCCAGGACTTTTCCTGTAATGGGCATGTGCTTTTGGAATGAATTTCCTCTCCCAGATCAATAGAGCATGAGCATTTTAGATTTCAGGGCACAGGAAAAGATTCACTTGTGAGTCACCAAAACAGTATGTGTGCATTGTAGCTGACTTACATTATTTGAATGAGCACTTTTAAAAATAAGTATTTTTCCCAATTGTTAAGTAAAATAAATAAAATAAAGTAAGCAAAATTAAAAGCACCTGTAATGTGCTTTGTAAACTAATAATGATATCGACTCTTAACATGTATAACCTTATTTATGGCAATAATTGGGTTAATATTCCAAATATGGTTTTAAATCCAGCTTTTATATTAATTTTATATTTATATTTACTTTTGTATATTATAATACACATGAATTAAAATGAGAAAATAATAAATTTTAGTCACAAAATTTACTATTTAAAATATAACTGAAGGCTATTGAATCAATACTGATTTTAGCCTTTTACCCTACACTATGACCAAATCTTTATTAAATAGATTTCTTTATTCACTGGTACTAAAATAACTTAGTGGCTAATTCTTTTCAGAGTAATGACTGATCTCTATTTCTTATTCCTGTTTCTCTTTCTTTCTCAAGCTCTCTCCCACTTTTCTCATTCTATTTTGCATTAAGAGCCATGTAAAATGTTTTTCCTATTATCACTAAAATTTGTATTTTATTATAGAGAAGTCTATCTGATGATGATAAAACAATGGTTCATATACTCTTTTAATTATTTTTAAAATTTCTAAAAGACTACTAGCTATGGACTATTTATACCAAGAAGGCTACACACCTATTCAGCTGTAGATAAAACTACAGTTGCCATTGCCATATACATAAAAAAATCCACTTTGATATATATGTAATTTCCTAACACAAACAAGTGTGTGGTTGGAAGGAAACTAATCATATAGAGAATTCTTCATCATATTAATATTTATTATTCAGCTATTTTGTCAGATACTATTCTAAATGATTTAGAGTCACAATGTCATTTAATTTTCACAAACATCTTTCGAAAAGTATTAACACTCCCATTTTATAGAAAATGCAACCCAAGTGCCCTCACCCTATACGGTTCAGAGCAAGGCTTTCCACCCAGAGCTGCCTGGATAAAAATGCACTCCCTTCCCCACTCTATGAAGCGAAAAGTTAGGAGCAGTGGCTCTACCTAGGGCCCAGATGCTGAAAACCCTTCATGGGGCTGTTCTGTCCAATCCTTTGGAATGCAAACTCCCTTGAGCAAGCACTTGTTTGGCATAGTTTCACCCGCGGCCTGTCTGTCCAAAGTAGTTGGCGAATATTAAAATAGTCCTATAATAAAATAGCACTCAGTCAACCATGTAGCCTCCTTAGGGAGGGGGAGGAGAATAGCTCACTTTCCCTGGAGGGCCTGAGAAAGATCAGTTTACAGGCGTCAGCATGGGGTATGACCCTTCTTCCTTCTCTCCATCTTGGTGCTGAAAATACCTTGATAACCCTCATCTCATGATCTGGGCAGAAAACATAACCAGGGCCTCTTTTCTCCTGCACACAAAACATACCCAGCCCTTTCACTGACCTGGCTTCTGATTGGAGGCTGGTTGTTTTGGATCATGACCTCCAGGACCCCTCTGTGGGTTACAGCCTGTTTGCATAACTCTTACTGCAACTCAAGACGCCTGCAGTGGGGTGTGAGAAAGAGGAAAAGACCAGTATTTTTACATCCCCAGGTACCAGGAGCACGGGAGATTGACAGCATTCCAGCTACCTGAGTGGTCAAGGCCTGGCAGCTTCCCATGCATCCCTTCCAGTCCGGCTACTGGCTAAGATGAGGGATCTTCTTCAGTACGTGGCTTGCTTCTTTGCCCTGTTCTCTACTGGGTTCTTGGTTGTAGCCACTTGGACAGACTGTTGGATGGTGAATGCCGATGATTCCCTGGAGGTAAGTACGAAGTCAGCAACTTCTTTTTCTCACCTAAGCCCTTCCACATTTGCTCCAAGTCTCACTGCTTCTCTATGTTCACTGGGATTAATGATAATTGCCAACATGGACTGATCAACTCTTTATTTACTACTTACTGAGTCTTCACATTTTCACTCATTGAATCCTCACAGCTAATCTATGATGTAAGTATTGTTCATATTCAATTTTTCAGATGAAGTAACTGGATAATTTATCTTTTTTAATAAGGATAAATTTATAAAAGGGTAATAATATAATCTCTGTCACTCATCCCTCCAGAAATTCATCTCTTCCATTGCTGCATATACCAACTTAAATAACATTCTAGTAACATCTTTCTTTTTCTTCTTTTTATTGAATTTATTAGGGTGACACTGGTTAACAAAATTATACGGGTTTCAGGTGTACAATTCTGTAATACATCATCTGTATATTGTATTGCATGTTCACCTCCCCCAGCCAAGTATTCTCCCTCTACCTTTTATCCCCGTATACCTTTCTTTAGCTCCCTCCACCCTCGTCTCCTTGGCAATCCTCACACTGATGTCTGTGTCCATGAATTTCCCTTGTCTTTTCTCAATCCCTCCACCCCATCTATCCCCCAACAGTTTCTTAAACATAAATTTGTTCATCTTGATGACAGCATTAAGAGTAGCATGATAGACTTTCTTAAATAATGGTAGGCTAAGAAATTGAGTAATAAAACTCAAGACATATAAAAATCTATTCAGTCAGTATGCTATAAAAAAATGTTATTTTAAGGAGTTTCCATGTAGAAGAAAACATTCTTAGGGAAAGCACATCTTCCAGTGTGTCCCAAGGTACAGGGTATAGATATATATTTAAGAAACCCTCTCTTAAAAATGAGTTTCTCTCTGGGACCAACTATTATGCAAGAATGAGTGAGTAGTTGACATTTGAGGATTTTATTTTTCTCACTGGAAAAGCTCAGAAAGAAGTAATTTTGGAGTTTAAAAGTATTTCCTATGGCTATTGGAATGTGAGAGAAATAGAACTGATTAAATATCAAAATCAGCTACTATTCATTAGTAAGTTTTCAAAAAGTATAGGTAAGAAAAAAAAAACAATAAATCAGGACCTCCAGTAAAGGATATATAGCATTCCAATATGTTCTTGTATGTACATTTGAAGGGAACAATTTAACAAATGCTATAATGTCACCTCTATAAAATTTAAGAAAGATACCTGAGAGCAAAGGTATCTTTTTTCCCTAATTTTATTTATTCAACTTTCAAGTGGCAGACATAAAAGGTAATATATTTTTCTGTGTATTATTTCTGCCATTTATTTATTTTTTCTTGCTTTTAATTTTTCTTGGACTTCTACATGGCATTTTAGAACCAAAGGAGTTATAAAAACTTCTTTAGTGCTAACAGTTATAGTTTTGAAAAATTTAATAGAAACTACTATAAAGGATGTTTACTATATGTGGTACATTTTATCTGGTCATGCATATAAGCAGTGAATGAAGACAATGCCCTTTGAACAATGCTGAGGGAAAATGTAGATAAAAACATCTGTGGCCATTAGCTTACTGGAATCTGGACTGTCAGTAGTATGTGAATAACAGAGAAATGTATTGGACTTGAGCAGACTTAAAGTTATGTTTTTAAATATAGACATTTCATTTAAATTCATTGTTAAAATATATTTTCTAAAACAATTTGAAAATCCGTCTGCTTAAGCTAATGGGACTGCTAACTTCACTTGATAAGAAATGGGAGTTTCAAAAGGGTCAAGCTTTGCTGGGAGAGATTGGGAGTCCTGGCACTTAAAGTGCCTTCTTGCTTTTATTTCACTACGACCAACCAATTTGCCATCTGCTCTGGGCAAGAACACTTCTAGCTAAAATGAATGGAATGAGCAGTCTAGGTTATTCACCTCAAGTAAATCCTTGCTAACCTTGGGCAAGCTCTAGTGAGTATTTATTAGCTTCTTCCTCCTTTCCAATACTTGAAATATATTGCTATAAATATTCCCCCAAAAGCCTCCACATTTAAAGAAAGAATCTATAACAGATGAGGCTCCTTCTCTTCCAACAATCTCTTTATTTGCCAATGTTTTAAAGGGATATGAATCTCTCTTAATAATTGCTCCTTCAATGGGCCAACATATGAAATCATATTATTATCCATAAATTTGAAGGTTGTGATACTGACTCAATTATGCTGCTCTTCTTCCTTCCTTCCTTCCTCATATATATGTATTACCATTAGTTCGTATTAATAACTCACTTTAAACAACTGTTGAACAAAGGTTGGCACCACAAAAGTGCTTTAAAAAAAAAAGCATACTCATGGAATTTTTTTTTTAAAGCAGTGTTATGAATTTCTAGCTTTGTTAATCTTTTAGGATGATACAGGCTTCAGTGTTGGAAAATGGGTTTCATAGCTCAATTCAATATTAAAAACCATGATATGTATTCCATATAAAAGATACTATGCTAATATCTAGTAGGGGAGATAAGGATAAAGCAAGAATGAGTCAGCATGACAGGAGTATACATTTAGTGAGGAAAAAAATATGCACATGAATCTATACTGAAAAGCATAGGCTAATTCATATTGGAAAAAGAAATGAAGAAAATACCAATGGAGCAGAGAAGATGAAGTGATTATTTCCTGTCACTGGTGCAGGCCTTGTGGAGGAAAAGCATCTGCACAAAGCTTCAAAAAGTTACAAAGGATTTCAAAAGGTGAACAGACAAGAAGACACATGACAAATGAAGCATGAGCAGAAACTAAGGGCTCATTAGAGGATCAAGGTTAGTAACAGGGAGCACAAGCAGAAAGAACCTCAGAATATCAAACAGAGTCATTTCGCCTTACTTCTACCTGCCTTGAAGAGTGAAGTTCTTTGCATCAGGGAAAAGAAATAGCACACAGAAGAATGGCCTCAAATCGAGTACCAACCACCCTAAGCTACCATACTGCTCCTGTCTTTATTGACTCATTTGTTTCTGGGAAGATAGTTGTGGTGAAGAGAACTTGGATTTTGAAATTATTCCAGCCTGTGCTTGTATCTTATTTGTCTTCTACTGATTGAGCAAGTCATAGCTCCTTTCTTTGGCTCAATCATAAAATGAATTAGAACTCAGTCATTGTAAGGGCCTTTTCAGTCTTCATTTTCTTTAACATCAGGACTCCTTGGCTGTGACCATGTCTGCAATTCCAGAGACATGGTCAGTCACCCAATGTCTGATGGCATTTAGAGTCTCCTTAGAAATTTCCACTAGTAGTTTAGAGTGAATATTCTCCATTTTTCTATAACTTCATATGCTCTTCTTTTCTTTTTCCTACCCACTCTTTCTCCTTTCATGTTTTCTTTCTCCTTTTCTTCTTCCTTTCTTTCTTCCCTCTTTTTCTTTTTCTTCCATCTTCCCCCCCTTTCCTCCTTTTCTTAAAGTCCCTTATGTATGTTCTTCCTCTCCTTTTTTCTCTTTTTCTCCCCCTTTCTCCTTCATTGCTTTATTTATCCCTTCCTCTTTCCATTTGTTTCTACCTTCCTGCATTTCACAATTATTCTTTGACACCTACTGTCTACCTGGTACTGTGGGTACAAGATTGTGACAGAGAATAAAGCCTGGATGTTCCTTAAATTGCTTCCAGCATATTGTGGAAGATGATGAATTGATAGTTACAGTATGATCTTGCAAATAACTCCCGAGTGCCTAGCTCACTCAATGGATAACCGATAAAGTCTACCTAGAAGAAGAAATATCTGAACTAAGGATTTGAAGGATAGGTGAGTGAAGAAGTCGAGTGTCCCAAGCACAGGAAATTGTATGGGCTCTCATTCAGGTTTATTTTTGGGGCTTTGTATATATTTCAGCATGATTAGAGTTTCCAATCTAGTTAAGAGAATATAGGGACTAGATCTCAAGGACTTTAAGATCATGTAAAATATAGGTGGTATAGACAAACATGTTTCAAAGTAAACAAACATACATGTATTTTAGAAATATCAATTATTCTGGCTGCTTGTGGAGAATGTTGGGAAGCAGTGAAATGAATTATCCCAAGAGAAATTAGGAGACTTTTGCCGCAGAACAGGAGGGAAGAAACAGTGGCCTGAGTTAGGATGGCAGCAAAGGAGACATGTGAAGATATGGGAAATTCTAAAGAATTCAAATTGATAGAATAATTGATTGCATGTAGAGAATGAAGGCTGATGAAGAGGGAGGAGTCAAGGTTGAAATCCTTTACTGTTTGGGGGCAATTGGAGGAGTGGTGGGGTCACTTACCTAGAGCTTACATGGAGGACAATTAGTCTCTATGCAGAAGTCACCGAGCAGCAATGTCCCTTAACTATCACACCAATCTATCTTGTTGAGATTCTTACACAGCACCTCAAGATGGGGTAATATGATGCTGTATGGTGGGGAGGCCTACAGGTTGGACTTGGTGTTAGAGGGGCCTGAGATTAAATCCCACCTTGCCAGGTAGGAGCTGTGTGAATTTTGACAGGTGTCTAAGCTCCTATGAATTTCATTTTCTCTTCTGCACAGAGAGAATAAAATGTGAACATAATAAGTGTCTTGTGAGAATTAAATGAGCTTGTATACCACAGTACCAGGCAGATACAAGTCAGTCAATAATGGTTAGATATATTACTGTCTATTTTCAGTTTATCGGTTTGTTTTTGTTCTGAAGGAGGAGATGACATTTTATATAATTTTCACTTAAAGGTGAGATATGACATTTAAGTTCTATTCCTATTTTTGCTATTGATTTTCTTGGAGAAGTTTTGTTTACTTCTCTGGGCTGTGGTTTGCCCATTTTTATACTTATCATTTTTTTTTTTTTGTCTAACTCGGGGAATAGGCAGACAATAAAGACAAAATAGTGTAAGTTATCTATTAAATATATTTCTAAAATAAAATAAATTATGAATATTATAATTATTCATTATCCACACTGGAATAGAAAAGTAGTTTCTTCACAAGATTACTGGTTTCG